GCTAAAGGCCGTGGGCGGGGGCCTGCCGAGGAAGCCACGCCCCTCCCGTCGTCGCCGCCGCGCCCTCTTCATTGGCTTTGGGCGTCCTTTATTGCTTCTCGTCTCCGCGTCTTCGTGGATTGGAGGAGGGGCTGGGGGCGGTGCCCGGCAAGGACCCAATCGGAAGGGAGGACGAGATGGGGCGGGGCAAAGGGGCGGGCCGGCGCGGATTGGGCGCCATGGAGGCGTAAATGAATGGGGGAATGAATGAATGAATGAATGAATGAATGGGCGAGGCAACGAGCGAATGAATGAATGGAGGAAGGAAGGAATGAATGAAGGGGGGGATGGAAAGGGGGGGATCATTTCCGGGCCTCCTCAGAAAAAGGATCCAGGACAATCAAAAGAAAGCCGGCAGAAATAGCCAGAAGCCCACGTCTCCTTTTAAGGAGGAAGGCGAGGTGAAAATATTGTATATTTGAGTAAATCAATTAATTTTTAAAATGGAAAATAAGCGTTTAGGGGCGATTCCTTTAATGTAAAATATTTGTAACCAGCCTTTCTCCTCAAGAGGACTCAAGGTAGGTTCCATGATGAAAACAAAACAAGGGTAAACACTTTTCAAAACTTAAAGGAAGCTGCCCCGTTTTTAAAAACCCCTCTTGGGGTAGCTGGACAATGACCAAAAGCTGTTTTGGAAGAGCGAAGTCTTGGCCCGCCATCCTGGAGGGTCTCCTCTCCTGAGCATGTCCCTGTCCATTCCCCCTGGCTTGATCATCTGCTTTTCTGTGAAGAGCTATGGGTCCCATGGCCGGCGCAGGCGCACGGCTGATGGGGCCACGGGCTAAAGCCTTCTCTGTGGCTGCTCCCAGATTCTGGGATGCCCTCCTAGGGGACAAAAGGCTGACCTCTGCCCTTTTAGGACAGCGGAAGGCCCACCTTTTCAGGCTGGCTTTTAAGCACCCCAATTGAGTCCCTGAATGCCATTTTTAAGTTAAGATCATTTTAATGCCCTGTATGTCTGTAGGAGAAAAGCAGGAGGGAGGAAAAGAAGCCAAAATCTTCTCCTTTTTATGAACATCCACAGTTACAAAACACTGCTGTTCTAGGCATAGAAATATGTACTGCTTCTAATTGTGGATTTCCTCACCATTGAATTTGAAACAAATTTCTCCCTCTCTTTGCTCTGTGGGAAAGGGCAGTTTGGTGATGAGTCCTCCTCTAGGTGAGGACGTGGAGCTGGGATTTACTAGGGACACGAGGAGAGCCTTAGGAGCGATCTTGGACACACTCTCTCATTACACTCCAGCACTGGGAGAATCTGAATTTTTGCAGAAGTTTCATATTCTTGCAAGGAGTCCTAGAACTTCAGTCTGACAGCCCTAGATGTTGCTGATCTCAGAGTCTGTTCTGCCCATTGCAAACACCATAGATTGACCGCCTGGGGAAGAACACGTATTTGGAGAAGAACACAGCGCTGCCGCCTTTGATGTTATTGTCAAAACAAACGGCTGCTGAAGCTAAGCAAAATGTCAATATATAAAAGCCAAACTCTTAACATTTTTCAAAAGAGGCCTCCTTTTTAATGGTTTCAGGTATCAACAACACCCTTGGGATGTTTTTAGACAGAAACCTTGCAACACACCATCAACACTGTTTTTCTTTTGTTTTTTTCTGCGTGTGTGAACCCAAGATTAGGAAAGTTGCTTTTGAAGACCTTGCCTTGTAAGAATCTTCTAAAAATGACAAGTGGAAGGGCCCTCTCTGCTCAGTCGCCTTGAGGCAGAGATGAGGGAGAATCTGGAGGCTTTTAAAAGTTTTTCTTCCTTTTCATCATCATCATCATCATCTAGAACTACAGAGCTGGAAGGTACCCTGAATCCAGCTCCTGTCCAGGAGGCACCGTGGGGGAATCAAACTCCCAAACTCGGGCTCCACAACCAGAGGCTTAAACCACGGAGCTTCTCCTCGCAAGCCTCAGACCTGGGGAAAAGGTGAGGTATTTATTAAAGAAATAAATCACCACAGGTTAAATTTTTCCTTTTCGCTGTCCTGTTTTTGGGGTCCCTTAACTCCCACAACCGGTTCTGTCTGCCAAATGTTTGCTTAGGCCAGATTGAGAAGAACCATGTGCTAGCCCTTTGACCACTGCTGACTATCAGACAGCTACAGCGTGGCCGTGGTATTTCAGCTGCATTTTGAGGAGAGGCAGCAGAGAATTGGAGAAAACATGGAAAGGCAGAGAGAATTTCTCCCACCTATGTTTAGAGGCCACCTGTTGATTAGAGAGACAGCATAGCCAAATGGTTAGATTTCTGCTTGAGTACTGAGGAGACCTGAATCTAAATCCCCACCGCAGCCTAAGGCAGTTTGACACAGTCTCTCAGCCTGAGAATAAATAATAAATATATTATCTCTTCCTAGATGATGGGTTTACAAAACCAAGCTTTTTTAAGGCCAGTATGTCTCCATTTTGGTGAGCCATCACTGCCACCTAATGGTCTAAACTATTAAATCATATATCTATTATTTAAAATATTCTCTCTCTCTCTCTCTCTCTCTCTCTCTCTCTCGTTGGCTGCCTTTCAATTGCCTAAGCTGGTAATCCTGAAAACTGACCAAAGCTTGCAAATATAATTTCACTCAGCCACGATCCTGTTAGGGTTTAAAAAAAACTGTCTGTGCAGCAGTAATCATGGATGGAGTTTGCACATTTTGATGGGGGGGGGTGCTCACACCATGGACACCCGGCCAAAGGCGTCCATCCGGCTTGTGCAATTACTCCTTCTTAGGTTGCTTTTGATCTCTTTTTCAACTAACGGAGGGTCCCTGCTGATAGTTTTGTGTCTCACTTGTGAGCATCTTAGAGGCACCTGGGCTAGCAGGCCCCCTTCTTGATTTGTGTGATGCATGTACCACACCTGATCCTCTGGCACTCTCGACAAACAGGAAGGGAAGGAGGGAGGGAGGAAAGGTTTTCCAGGAAAGAAGCAAGCAAACAAGCAAGTCAGCAAAGAATCTGAGATTGTTGACCAGCCCAGTTCTGAAGTCAAACTTCTGACCTTTTCCAAACATTTCTCAACATTGGTGGCATGCAGAAAAATGCCGTCAGCATCACTGAGAAGCCACAGAAGCGATGTGTGCCACTACAGCTGGTTGAAGGGGACCAAATCTAGCTGTCAGTCGATCTGGTTCCTTTTTACCAGCCCCAGGGGGCACAAGAACGGACGCAACAGGTTAGGTTGACTCTTTTCGCTCGGGTTTCTTGTCTGGAGTTATTTGCAAGTCCCGAAAAGCCATGATGGAATGCAAGGCTGTTCCTGGCAGAGATCCCGTCCCAATGATACATACTTCTTAACATTCCATAATGCCAGCCGGCTCCATATGGGCATATGAAGAAGTATGTAGGCTCGGGAGGGAAGGAGAGACAGAGCCGAGAGCTGATTCTGCTGCCTCGAGCCACGCCGAGCAACTCAGGAGGATCCCTGTAAAACAAGAAAAGTCTATTAGCAGGCCAACTCTGGAAGGAGAAGTTTTGTCAATATCTAAACAGAACTTGGACATAACACATCCATTTAGCGTGTTCACATTATCCTTGCTACTTTTGCATCAAACAGGAAGATTGCCACTAGTAACATCCTCCCGCTTTGACACAGCGGCACATCCATATCTGCCACAAAATATTCGTCCAGAATTATTTTCTTTTGCTTTTTAATTATTTGAAGGTTTCTGTTGTCTTTATTTCTATTTCCTTTAGCCACCCAGAGTACCATTCTATCACTAGGTGGGATAGAAATGGAACAAATAAATAAGCGTTCTTGTTTAGTCATTAAGTCGTGTCCGGCTCTTCGTGACCCCATGGACCAGAGCACACCAGGCCCTCTTGTCCTCCATGACCTCCTGGAGTTGGTTCGAATTCATGTTGGTTGCTTCAATGACACTGTCCAACCATCTCGTCCTCTGTCCTCCCCTTCTCCCCTTTCCCAACATCAGAGTCTTTTTTCTGTTCTCCTCTTTCCCAACATCAGGGTCTTTTTTTCTGGGGAGTCGTCTCTTCTCATGAGATGGCCAAAGTACTGGAGCCTCAGTTTCAGGATCTGTCCTTCGAGTGAGCACTTGGGGTTGATTTCCTTCAGAATGGATAGGTTTGTTCTCCTTGCAGTCCAGGGGACTCTCAAGAGTCTCCTCCAACACCACAATTCAAAAGCATCAATTCTTCAGCAGTCAGCCTTCTTTAAGGTCCAGCTCCCACTTCCATACATCACTATTGGAAAAACCATAGCTTGTCGGCAAGGTGAGGTCTCTGCGTTTTAAAATGCTGTCGAGGTTTGTCATCACTTGCCTCCCAAGAAGCAGGCATCTTTTAATTTCATGGCTGCTGTCCCCATCTGCATCATGGAGCCCAAGAAAGTAAAATCTGTCACTGCCTCCATATCTTCCCCTTCTATCTGCCAGGAGGTGATGGGATCAGTGGCCATGATCTTAGGTTTTTTGATGTCCAGGTTCCTATGCAGTATTTTTCTTTGCA